CATGTTTAACACTTCTCGTATCTTAGAATTGTCATTTAATCTTGTTCTTCAAGGAATATATTTTAAATCCGTTCGGATTACAATAACTAATATTCGAGTTCGAAAGAGTAATCAGCACAAATTTAGACAACCTAGAGCCAGAAAAAATAAAATGATATACATCACCAAAAATATATTGTACATTTTCAATGAATAATTATCAATTTGTCAGCTTTTTTCTTTTTTAGTTAACATGTATCTCACAAGCTAGTGTTATGTCAATTTTTCATTAATTGTGCATAACACTGTCATATAATGTCCATAATTTACTAAAATTCTTTTCCTTACTTCCGGGGATCTCCTTGCAGATATCATCTTAGGGGGCCTTACACATAAATTTTTCTGCAGCGTCATTGTCGGATTGGTACTCTTGAAACTTATGGATATGACAGGCTACACGGAGGCTAAGTTTAATACAACATAACATAAATAGAGAACGTTTTAACTCAAGTTCTTAGTAGTTTAAGTGATAAAAGAGAAGTATTATAGCCTTGAGTTCAAATATTGAAAAAAAAATTGAGCTCAGGTCATGAGAGATTTATCCCATATAAATATCTTAGTTTTGGCATAAATAACCTATCTTTGATCGAATCAAAATTGGGACAATTGAATCTTTAAGAATTATTTAAAAATAGAAGACAAAGTTTGAGGACTAATTATAATATTTATCCTAAATACTTAAAACCTTTATAGAAAATTTTAATTAATTTAGAAATTACAAGTTTAACATTTCTCATGTCTTGGAATGGTCAATTATTCTTGTTTTTCAGGGAACATATTTTAAATCCGTTCGGATTACGGTGACCAATATTCGAGCTCGAAAGAGCAATCAGCACGAGTTTAGACAACCTAGAGCCACAAAAAAATAAAATGATACACATCACGAAAAATATGTATTTTACATTTTCAATGAATAATTGTCAATTTGTCGGCTTTTTTCTTTTTTAGTTAACATGTATCTCATAAGCCGGTGTTATGTCAGTTTTTAATTAATTGTGCACAACACTGTTTGTTTTGTTTGTTTGCCATAAACTTAACATCCAAAGTGTATGTGAACATCATGAAATTCAGAAAGTATAACATAGTTGCTGCCACAGATTAGGAGGAAGATCTTAATATTGTCTGTGGCCGGAGAGGGGTGAGTTCAAGCTACAAAACATTTACATACTTTCTCAGAAAAATAATTTCTCTGATATCTCCGACAGCACTGCAACTTCCAGAACACCGATGATCACCAAGTAGGGTGGTCTAGTAGTGTACTGGCCGTACTCTTTACCTTGAGGTTAGGAGTTCGAGTCTTAAAGTTCTCATTGGAGTTTTGTAGTTGACGACTACACTAGCCTAATTAGGTTTTATCCCGAGAGATAGTTCAGACGCGATCAAGAACCTTATAATCTCACCGGTGAGGACCTATCGGGGGTAGTCTTTGGACACTCTTCCTTGCCCCCACCCCTTTTTTTTAACTAGCAAAAAAAAAAAAAAAAACTTCTAGAACACCAACGTTGATACGATATCTCTAATATCTCAATAATTTCTTTGATCTTAATATTGAATCACAACCACCGTTATTTCGAAGTACGGGTGATATGATACCTCTAAAAATAATCAATGGTACCTAAAATCGTTTAAGTCATTTCTTTGCTTTCAAGTCAAACTAATGTTTTTATAGCTGACACTTGGGATTAAAAAAGAACCTGGAACCCCACACCACTCTGCGTAAACATAAATTTTTCTGCAGCATCATTGTCTGATTGGTACTCTCGAACTTGTGAATATGAAGGCTAGACGGAGGCTAAGGTTAATTACAACATAAATAGAGACTATTTTAATTCAACTACAGGGTAGTTTAGATAATAAAAAAGAAGCACTATAAATTTATAGCCTTGAGTTCAAATTTTGAAAAATTTATTGAGCTTAACTTATGAGAGATTTATCTCACATAAATATTTTAATTTTGACATTAATAACTTATTTTTGATCGAATCGAAGATAAGATTAATTAAAATACGCATAAATTAATTGAAATACATTTACTGATAAACTNGCGTGGTTGGTCACTCAACCGGCTCACTCGAGTTCACCAAGGAAGAGATCTGTTCTCGTTTTTTTATATTGTGCAGGATCTTGCACGCACAAATAACTTATATTTGATCAGATCGAAGATAAGATTAATCAAAATACGCATAAATTAATTGAAATACATTTACCGATAAACCNTTTTGAAAAATTTATTGAGCTTAACTTATGAGAGATTTATCTCACATAAATATTTTAGTTTTGACATGAATAATGATGGAATNCGAAGATAAGATTAATTAAAATACGCATAAATTAATTGAAATACATTTACTGATAAACTAAAAAAAAATAGACAATACCTAAAGCAATTTGTCATCATAAATAATGTGGATCCCACTGCATTAATAATGCATTGTCTTTGCCCATTTCCGATAGCAACTAACTATTGTGACCGGCAAGTTTGAGAATGGGCTGGCGAATAAAATCTGATGCGCGCAAACTTGGCTAGTATCAAAATTATAGGATGCGAATAATTGAATATACTCTATAAATATTTAAATAAATATTATAATTAGACCTTAAATTTTATCCTTTGCTTTAAAATGATTCCGAAACTTTCNTGACCGGCAAGTTTGAGAATGGGCTGGCGAATAAAATCTGATGCGCGCAAACTTGGCAAGTATCAAAATTATAGGATGCGAATAATTGAATATACTCTATAAATATTTAAATAAATATTATAATTAGACCTTAAAATTTATCCTTTGCTTTAAAATGATTCCGAAACTTTCAATTATTTAAATTTAGTCTATTAATTATCAATTTTTTGTCTCATCTAAATCACAACACATGATATGGACGACCACAAAAGAAACACGTGACATGCCTTAGTGTTTTTTAATGATTAAAATTAACAAAAATGACTTAATTAACACCAAAAAATTGATAATTGAAGAATTAAATTGAGATAATTGAAACTTTAGGAATTATTTTAAAATAGAAGACAAATTTTGAGGACTAATTATGATATTTATCCTAAATACTTAAAACCTTTATAGGAAATTTTAATTAAAAAAATTTAAGAAACACCCCTCTTGTACAACAGAAAATCTAACTTAATACTTCCTCACTGCATTGTCAATCTTAACCACAAGTCACATGAAACTTAGTTCTTGCGTGGGACAATATTTTCAGTGTATATTATACGTTATATGATAATACCAAATGATAGTAATTGAGTCTAACTTTTGATAATTTAAAAATTACAGGTTTAACACTTCTCATATCTTGAAATAGTCAGTTACACTTGTTATTCAGGAAACATATTTTAAATTCGTTTGAGTTACGGTGACTAATATTCGAACTCGAGAAAGTAGTCAACACAAACTTAGACAACTTAGAGCCAAAAATAATACAATGATATACATCACCAAAAAAATGAATAATTATCNACCACAAGTCACATGAAACTTAGTTCTTGCGTGGGACAATATTTTCAGTGTATATTACACGTTATATGATAATACCAAATGATAGTAATTGAGTCTAACTTCTGATAATTTAAAAATTACAGGTTTAACACTTCTCATATCTTGAAATGGTCAGTTACACTTGTTATTCAGGAAACATATTTTAAGTTCGTTTGGGTTACAGTGACTAATATTCGAGATCGAGAAAGTAGTCAACACAAACTTAGACAACTTAGAGCCAAAAATAATACAATGATATACATCACCAAAAAAATATTGTATATTTTCAATGAATAATTATCAATTTGTCGCCTGTTNATATTCGAACTCGAGAAAGTAGTCAACACAAACTTAGACAACTTAGAGCCAAAAATAATACAATGATATACATCACCAAAAAAATGAATAATTATCAATTTGCCAGCTTTTTTTCTTTTTTAGTTAACCTGTATCTCACAAGCTAGTGTTATGTCAATTTTTCATTAATTGTGCACAACAGTGTCATATAATGCCTATAACTCACTAAAATTCTTTTCCTTAGGTCCGGGGATCTCGCAAGGCCGAGGGAGTAATTCAAGTTTAGGTAATGTCCTAAAAAAAAAATACNTCTTTTTTAGTTAACCTGTATCTCACAAGCTAGTGTTATGTCAATTTTTCATTAATTGTGCACAACAGTGTCATATAATGCCTATAACTCACTAAAATTCTTTTCCTTAGGTCCGGGGATCTCGCAAGGCCGAGGGAGTAATTCAAGTTTAGGTAATGTCCTAAAAAAAAAAATACTCGTCGCAATCTGTTTTTGAACGAGTGTTATTGTCTAAGAACATCTCCACCCAGAAAAAACAAACAAAACAAAAGCCCACACAGAACGTAGGGCACTTTCATATTGTCAATGGTGCTAATGACCCGTAAATGGGCACCCCAGATTTTGCGTCTATAAAAGCAGTTTAATAAAGCGTTTTTTGAGTGATTCATAAACCCTGTAAAGGAAGATCATAAACCGAGGTCCATCACATCAGATCTCCAACTGATGAAAGCTTTAGATACCAGGTTGATAAATGACATCTAATTGGCAAAAAAGAACCTGCAAGAAAAATTACCATGGCAAAAAATCTCTGGTCCGATCAACTTACACTTATTCGTACAAAGTATAACAAAATACACCATAGGTTTGAAATTTAAGAAATATTACTTCAACAAATAAGTACTTTACCAAGTCCGGTGGGGCGGCGAAATAAAAAACACGGCAATAAAAGCTTCACAAATGCAACAAAGTACAGAAATAACTGGAAGATGAAAGAATGAATATGACGTGCACAAACAAGCAATGAGAGTTCTCCAGTCAAAAACCAATCTTAAAATTTTGAAAGCTCTGACAGACAAGAGTGCGATGACTACAAAATCACTCGCATCAATCATGCAGCAACCTGAACAAAAAGCCACTTGCGGATCTGCAATAAGAAGAAAGCGTCAACTCAACTTGGTTATAGCATGTACAGGATCATAGTTAAGGGCCACAGAAAAAGGGCTATAGGCATGACTTCATTTTGCAAGTCTACTTAATGGTATATAAAGTTGATATACCCCATCTTTCCAGGTCGCAAAGGGAAAAAGGTACTATTCCATGAGTCTCCATAAGAGAGACACCGGTGTATATTTCTGACCTTTTTGTGGTCAGAAAGAAAAAGTATGCATAAAATGACCTGAAAAATAGTTGGATTCAAAATGAAATTTGCACATTTAACTGACTAACCATTTTGTGTCCATGCTAGAGTTTTCGGGCAGATACTTTAGTATTATGACATTAGCAATCAATAACAGAGCAATGCTAAATGCTCACAAAGAAGCAGCTAATGAAAGAAAGGAAAGGACATCATAACGTCAAACAAATTTACCTCAGGAAGTTTTTTACGGAATACAACATCCAACCTTGCATCGAGGGTGTTTTCGCAAACAATTTTTCCATCCAGAGAAGCTAACACTACACCTCCAGAGCTGAAAGAAGAAAGCAATAAGAATATCATGAGAAACATTCTCCCTCACCTCCCTCTCGATAACTATTTGGCTGATTGAAAGATAAAGTCTGCACAATCAAACAGAGGGACGAAGAGACTAACTAGCTGCATGCACTTTGCTGGCTACTGTTTAGTTAACTTGGGCATAATGTAGATAATCAAAAAATTTATGCCAACATCATCGAAAAATAATATTATGTACCAGAAAGGACCATGGGCATTGTGATGCGATGGAGCTGGTGGTAGGTGGACTTTGTCAATTATAATCTCTGGTGGATGAACATTTGCTTTCTCCGCATATGCCACCTTTGCTGGGTGCAACGCAGACTCCACTATATTTACGTCATCATTCCGACAGCGCAATAAGACAGCAGGCTCTTTAAGTCTGAGCAAACTCTGCAACAAGACAGCAGGCTATTTAAGTCTGAGCAAACTCTACAATACATACGGTTACCCTTCAAGTAGCAGACGATGTCCAAAATCACTAATGCAATGCTAAAAGTAGTTGTGTATCAGAAGACTTACCAAGGCATGTTTTGAAAACCCATTAATTACTCTTAATTTTATTTTCAGTTGATTTAAAAATTCAAATCCATCATGAGAACTCAAGCTTGTACAAAAATAATCCCATCAATATAATTATTACTGAAACTAGATCACCACCACAGAGTATTACAAAATGCTTTCAAGATTTCAGGGTTAGTAATTTATGTTTTATCATCATTTTTTCTGGATGGCAACTTATTGAGGTCTATGATCTTGAAAATGGTTTCTGAAATTTTTTCAAATCGCTACCATTTTTTTCTTTTTCTTTTTTTCCCAAGAATTATAATCATATGAAGTAAAATAACTTGACTCGGCAACCTCATAGAACAAAATTTCATAAAAGGCCCCTAAGAAGTTTATCATGATTCAGAAATCGAAAAAACATTACCCATTTTCTACATGATTGATAACAGTTCAACTGAAAAGGAATTTTACTATGTGAAATCAAAAATGTACAGTATCTGTGAGTACTCATAGGGAGAAAATCATACAATAAAATACAAACATTACGTAATTCTTAAATACCTGAACAATGAGATCTGTCAGAAGTTTTCTGTACTGATGGTGGTCGTGGATTACATGCAAATGGCCATGGCTCACATGCAGGAGCTCCTTTGATGCTGCCTCTTTCATGGTGTTAACCACTTCATCCTGAGCTTGAAGAACTTTGATGCGAGAAGCATTGAGCTGCATGGAGTACTCACTGAAACAAAACATCACAAAGATATTTGATCTGTATACACTTTAACAAGAAATTAAACCTAAAAATACGGCCAAGTGTGCTAAAAGTGTTCTCTTTAAAGCTTTGACATCTACAGCGTACTAATCCCATTGCTAAATTATCACCTTTTTAGATTAATTCAGTTGGTTCTCATTCCATACTAGAAGGATCAGACCGGGCTTGCTCCCTTAAGACAGCTCACTAAAGACAATTTCAAATTTTGCATTGACAAAGTTCACCAGATTGCATAACAAATCAACAAAAAATGTTTACCGAAGACAAAACTTAATAACAAAACCACATAAAGCCACAGTTATACACAAGGGGCAATTACCCAATATGGTAATAAAAAAAAAAGTGATCAAAATCTTCATTGGGGGTTAGTTTTACTGAAAAATAATATGGCAATATATGAGAATCGTAGATACAAAAAATACCAGAGTAGTTTCACAAACTGATGAAGCAAATGTCTCGACAGAGTGAAACCCCATTTGAAGTACTTGACTTTACCCAAATTTAGCTTTTGCTAACAACTTTACTAATCTATTCATGAACCTTGATTATTTTCCTTTAGCAATTAGGCAAGTAGTCATTTCAGGTCTAGGCAATATGGTTTAAACACTTTCAAAGCAGAAAATAATTAGTGATATTTGATGGTGACGGCAATACACGCAGTTGATAGGTGAAAGCCACACAAGCATATGATCAATAGGCCAAAAAGCCTCCAACTATTATCAGTCACACCTTCTGCATCCCTACAAAAAGGGGTGAGTGTCAGAGATCCGATCACTTTTGTTGGAGACTTCATGAATCAAAAACTCCAAAAGTAGTTTATTCATACAATCAAGTAGTCAAAAGCAGCCAAACATACCAATTAACCGATCTATTATCCTTCTTAAACTAGGTCAGTTATACAGATCGCGAATTGGACAATGTGACCGTGGGATATATAAAACATACGTCAATATATGTAAAATTAAGTAAAGAAAAAGAGATGAGATTGTATTATTACATTTTCTTTCGAACTTCAACTTGCTTCTCTTTACGCTCGTACTCTTGTCTGATCTTCTTCTTCTCTGCTTCCACCAGTTGTAACTTCTCTATATTAAATTCCTACAATCACAACGATTTTCACACACGATTACGGGACATAATCTATCAATCTATACACAGCATTCGATTTGAACTGTAAGTTAGAGTTTCTGTCGAAATCGACTTTACTTCTTCGGCAGAGACAGAGATCTCATTGGCCTTTTCTTCAGCTTCTTGGCGGATGAATCGGACCATCTGCTGGATCTGCTTGGAGACATCTGCGTCGTTCATCTTCGGATCTGATCGGAGAATTCGATTATCGATCGGAGCTTTTTCCCGTGACTGCTGCTTGACGGAGGCTCTAGTCCGAGTGACTCCTCGTCTGCTTGGATCTTAAATGAGAAGAAGCAGTAATGACATAAAACTGGCGTCCAATGCTCGAATCACGAGATTCAGGACTTATACTTAATTAGCCCCGATATTTATCACAATTACAAAACACCACCCACAGTGTACTTCTAATAATATCAAGTCAAGCCTTTGTACTTCCTTTTATTGCAATAAAACTCTACAATTCCTTAAATTGTAATAAACCTCCACAAAATTTCTGTTCTTTCCTATAATATCACTTTCTTGCTTTCTTTGTTTATTTCTTTTGATATTCTCTTTCACATACTTGAGTTATTTTTTCCATCCATTTTCTAGGGACTCTACGGGTAGCAAATGGGTCAAGTTATTTCGGGTTCGTGTCGAGCACCAGTCAACTCAACCCTTTAACTAATCTTATCGTATTATATTCATGTTGGATCCATTAACCAGTAAATAAAAAATTAAATGTTTAGTTTTATTTCTAAAATTTTATTATCATTTAATCAAACATATACTTATATTTTTTCTATAAACTAAAAATTAACTTAATAAATATAATAAAAAAGTGAGTAAACATTTTTTTTTATAAGAATTAAGTCACTATTTGATAAAATATAATAAAAAATTGGCATTTGATTATTGTAATACTACATAAATGTGTTAATCGTTTTAATTTTGTATTGTTTGTGTTTAATACTAACTCAACTCATTTATTATTTGTGTCAATGGGTCGTGTTATAAACAGGTTCATGTGTGATAAATAGTCAATCATAACTCGCTAATTTTATGTCGATTTCAAATCATATTTTTGTGTAGTGTTATAAATTGTCACTCCTATCCTGTGTGCCCATAAATCGCTTCATATCAAAGTTTGTTAGATCAAATACATTCAATTTAAATAATGATTGCCCTTGCGATCGATTATTTCTATAACAATTAACTAGTAAAAACATGTTAATTTTTGAGTTCACGTAATGTAAAATTATTTGTAAAAAAATGTATTTATTGCCATATGCCAAATTTGGTATCTCAATGTGTTAAATCATTGAAAATCTACCATTTTTAATTGATTTTCCTTTCATTACCACTCATTCAAAATGCATAAACCACATTATTCTTATTTATTAAAACATTGTAAGGATCCCAAATGTTATTCTAAGCCCCACAATGCATAGGCCATGAAAAATGAAATGAAAATATAAACTCAAGGAATTTAAAAATTGGGTTCTTTTATGTTATCAAATTTGAAAAAAATTCATTGCAGAAGGCCAATGGACCAATTGATAATCTTAACCAACATTAAAGTGCTAAAAAAGAACCAACCAAAAATCAAATGGAATCGATAAGGAAAAACAATCTGTAATTGATCACCAAAATTTTTAATCAAATTTGAATCTATAAATATTTAAATCAGTCAAAAATTGGAAAAAAAACAAAAATAGAATGTGTGAAGAAAGTTGCTTCAAAAATAGAACGTGTTGAATAGAAATTAACGATTGAAGCAATCTGAAACTCAAACCAATAACTTAAGGTCTAATATAAGAAAGTTACTCAAATTTAAATTAGTATTTGAGTAAAAAATTTGATTTGATACAAATGATTCTAATGGACAAACTCAAAATTAAAGAAGGAGAAATTTAAATTTAAATAAGGGCAAACCTAAAATTAAATGAGAGTAAAGATGACTATTGAATTTTTAAAAGATGGTAAAATTTTACCAATAAAGATTTGAGTAAGGATTTGAGTCTTTTTTAATTTGAGTAAAAAAAAAAAGAGTCTCCTTTGATTTGGTATAAGTTTGAGTAAGGATTGAAGGAAGTTTTTTAAATTTTTTTACTCAAATATAAATTTGAGATATCCTTACGGGTCAAAACTTCCCCCATAAATTTGAAAGTTCATATGTTACTTTCATAAATTCTTAGAAATTTATATAGTACCTTCATACCATTTGGTTAAGTTTTTTGCTCATATTTTTGCCCCCTATGAAGATGGATATCTGGCTCCTCCCCAGAATTCTTATGTTTCGATGGGCATACTTGTTAGACAATTATTTGTGTTCTCCGTAAAAAAATATGGGTATTTCCATTTTTTTTTTNTACCAATAAAGATTTGAGTAAGGATTTGAGTCTTTTTTAATTTGAGTAAAAAAAAAAGAGTCTCCTTTGATTTGGTATAAGTTTGAGTAAGGATTGAAGGAAGTTTTTTAAATTTTTTTACTCAAATATAAATTTGAGATATCCTTACGGGTCAAAACTTCCCCCATAAATTTGAAAGTTCATATGTTACTTTCATAAATTCTTAGAAATTTATATAGTACCTTCGTACCATTTGGTTAAGTTTTTTGCTCATATTTTTGCCCCCTATTAAGATGGATATCTGGCTCCTCCCCAGAATGCTTATGTTTCGATGGGCATACTTGTTAGACAATTATTTGTGTTCTCCGTAAAAAAATATGGGTATTTCCATTTTTTTTTGTTGAGGGCGAGGGTATCAGTTGTGCAAGGTGATGATGCACAAAAATGGTTTTGCACACCACCTGTCAAGTGTAGGTAATAAATGCATTGAAATCGATGAAAGAATTAAAGAAGACACAATTTATAGTGGTTCGGTCAATTCGACCTACGTTCACTCTTCAATGGCCTCAGTTGCCGGGTATTTTATTAATTCAGAGGTATGGAGAATAGAGATACAAGCTTTGAGAGAATGGAGAATCAAAGAAAGTGGTCTCCGATCGTCGATCTATCCTCTGTAAGTGTTGGTGGGGCGTGACCTTCATCTCTCTCTTCTACCAAATTGGAGCTACTTTATAGCAGCTAAGATATCATTCTTGTGGAGATCATGACTTATCCTCAAGGCTTATTTGTCGCAGCTAAGAGATTATTCTGGTGGAGATCACGACTTATCCTCAACGGAAGGAGGAGGTTGGGGAGCTCTTCATGAAACGTGGTCAAAGATTGGACCGTTTCCTTCGGTAGTGCAGATAAGCTTCTCATGCTCTCCTCTTGGTGACGTGTTAAGCAAAAAGTCTAACCGGTCTTGGACTGTCTTGGGCTTGGTGGAATCAAAATGAGGTTGGNCCTCTTGATGACGTGCTAAGCAAAAAGTCTAACCGGTCTTGGACTGTCTTGAGTTTGATGGATTCAAAATGAGGTTAGGCTCCTTAACTGGGGTTGGACTTTAACACATAAATTGGACTATTTGGGCTTAACTCATCATTTGCCCCCCAATGCCCCATGTCCAAGGAGACTTGGAGAAGGAGACATTGACTATATATATATTTTTTTTTTGTTTAAACTTCAAGTCTTTCTCACTTTATTTTAAAGAAGGCCCACAATATTCTGTTTGGCCTTTTTATTTTGAAAAGGACTCATAACTTTCTATTTAGCCACTTTNTTTTTTTGTTTAAACTTCAAGTCTTTCCCACTTTATTTTAAAGAAGGCCCACAATATTCTGTTTGGCCTTTTTATTTTGAAAAGGACTCATAACTTTCTATTTAGCCACTTTATTTTGAAAAGGGCCAATAATTTTCTATTTGGGCTTTTTCCCTCTTTTTGAAAAACCCTAGACTATAAATATAGTCTTCTTCTTCATGTTACCCATTTCACTCATTTTTAAGGTTGAGCACCCACCTCTTGAAAACCTTGAGAACTCAAGTCCTACCCATTTTGTTGAAGCCAAAGTGTGTTC